ATTCCAATCCTTCCATACTCGTTCCAAAACGAAGGAAAAAAATGGCTAGACTAATACTTTGTAAAGTGTATGTAAACTCCAACAAATAACATTTTATTTGTTCCTTTTGTTTCTGGAAAATAAACCATGCTAAGCTTTTTTTGGTTACTGTATTTTTCGCTCCATAAGACGCACTTTTTTCCCCCAAAAAAAGGGGGGAAAATGTCAGTGCGTCTTATGGAGCGGCCGGTCCGATATTTCCACCGCCGCCGTGTCAGAATACCGGGCCGGCCGCTCAGCTCTGCAGCGGGACCTTATGGAGATGACTGCTGACCTTTGGGGAGGTGGGGAGCAGGTACCTGAATTTGACAGGTACCCGCTCTTACTTCCGCGGAGCTGTTCTTTGATCTTACCTGTTCCTCTATCCAGCGGCGCGCTGTCTTCCCGGCTTCTGTAGTGTGGGCACTGGGCATGACAGCCGGGTGCCAAGTGCGAATGCGCAAGAAGCGGTGCTTTTTGTGAATGGTAAGGCGGTACCTGGGACACATGACAGATCCCAGAAGCCGCCGGACCAATCATAAAGGGCAAGTGCTTCTCGCTCATGCGCACTGGGCACCCGGCTCTCATGCCGAGCACCATTACAGAAGCCGGGAAGACAGCGCGCGGCTGGATAGAGGAACAGGTAAGATAAAGAACAACTCCGCGGAAGTAAAAGCGGGTACCTGTCAAATTCAGGTACCCGCTCCCCACCTCCCCAAAGGTCAGCAGTCATCTCTGTGCTGTCCGCAGTCTCTGGTCATCCCTGTGCTGTCTGCATTCGCTGGTCATCCCCGTGCTGTCCGCAGTCTCTGGTCATCCCCGTGCTGTCCGCAGTCTCTGGTCATCCCCGTGCTGTCCGCAGTCTCTGGTCATCCCCGTGCTGTCCGCAGTCTCTGGTCATCCCCGTGCTGTCCGCAGTCTCTGGTCATCCCCGTGCTGTCCGCAGTCTCTGGTCATCCCCGTGCTGTCCGCAGTCTCTGGTCATCCCCGTGCTGTCCGCAGTCTCTGGTCATCCCCGTGCTGTCCGCAGTCTCTGGTCATCCCCGTGCTGTCCGCAGTCTCTGGTCATCCCCGTGCTGTCCCGCAGTCTCTGGTCATCCCCGTGCTGTCCGCAGTCTCTGGTCATCCCCGTGCTGTCCGCAGTCTCTGGTCATCCCCGTGCTGTCCGCAGTCTCTGGTCATCCCCGTGCTGTCCGCAGTCTCTGGTCATCCCCGTCTCTGGTCATCCCCGTCTGTCCGCAGTCTCTGGTCATCCCCGTGCTGTCCGCAGTCTCTGGTCATCTCCTGTGCTGTCCGCAGTCTCTGGTCATCTCCTGTGCTGTGTCTGCAGTCTCTGGTCATGCCCCCCCAGCCCCCCCCTGTACTGTGTCTGCAGTCTCTGGTCATCTCCTGTACTGTCCGCAGTCTCTGGTCATCCCTGTGCTGTCCGCAGTCTCTGGTCATCCCTGTGCTGTCCACAGTCTCTGGTCATCTCCTGTACTATGTCTGCAGTCCATTAGTTCAGAATTTTTTTTTCCTGTTTTCTGCCTCTAAAACCTAAGTGCATCTTATGGTCAGGTGCGTCTTATGGAGTGAAAAATACGGTATATATCTGTCCAAAAAATGCAGCAAAATATCCATTGATCTGCCAGAAATCCTTTGAGTTATAACCTCCAATTATCTCTGCCTCTTAACATTCCCTGTTTACTCTGAACACAAAACATTGTGGTCCTAATACTTATGGTCTAGGGATGGGCCTGTGTTTGTTCAGAACAGGGTTCAGTTCCAGACCAGAAAATCAGCTGTCATTCCTGATCCAATGAAATTAACCTAATAAGCCATGTAGCAAAATTAGGTCAAATTGTCACAAGCATTTCCACCTCTATGTATAAATCCGCTGCGGTGCAGGGAATCCCGAGCTCACAGATTATTGGACATGAAATGAGAGCCAAATTCCAGGTTCAGACACAAACCTGGCGCCAAACAAAAAGCAAGCTCTTCCGCATTCTTGTCCTGTCCTAGGACAGGAAGTGTGTTACTGTCAAAATAAAGGAAAAAGGTCTGAAAAAGGTAAACAAATGCAGCCACCACATCAATGGACTGGTAAGTTGCAGCATATTACATGTATGTTTTGGGGTTTAATTCTCTTGTGCTCACCTGTTTGTTGGGGTGCTGAAGGTAAAAGACAGGAGCTGGTTCCAGAAGGGCTCATTCTCAGAAATGGCCTCTGTCCCGGACAGTTTCTTCAAATAGTCGTTCTCAGAGAGCTCACTAATAGTGCTGCTGCTGTTGGCACCCATGTTGCTAGAGGGTCAGTAGTCTGATCATTCCTAAACAGCAAACACACAAAGACACATCATTGATTCAAAGAAGAAAATGCAATGTATTGTCATCTGAATAACATGACGACGCCAACAACTCAGTGAAATACTGTACTAGCAGGTCCATCTTCAAGTGACTGTCCTTCAAGTGACTGTCCTTCAAGTGACTGTCCCTTCAAGTGACTGTCCTTCAAGTGACTGTCCTTCACTGTCCCGTTCCAAGTGACTGTCCTTCAAGTGACTGTCCTTCAAGTGACTGTCCTTCAAGTGACTGTCCTTCAAGTGACTGTCCTTCAAGTGACTGTCCTTCAAGTCCAAATGTTTTCTCCCAACTTCATTGCCTCCAATGCTTGCAGTATTGCAGAGAAACCGCCATTCAGTCATACTAACGTATAACCATTCAGATGTTCTAGAATTGCAAGAAAGGTCTGGCACGGACATGATAGTATCAAACATCCTGATTGGAGGAATTCCAGGGCATCAGATTCGTTACATGTTCTAATGACAAGACTACACTTTTACTAAACTATGGACCAGCTGCTGTCATCTGTCATTTCACCATTTCTCCTGCCCTGAACCTGCTGTGCAGAACAGCAATGCCAGGCAGTGTAGCACTGCAGACAAAGCATGGTTCAGCAGGACTGCAGGATTTGTGTCAAAATCTGGGACAGTGCTGCAGAATGTGGGATTCCTGGGAAGTAGGACTGCGGCTTCAATTATTTTGGATACATATACAACATGCACTGCACTCCACATGAATGGCAAGTCTGATAACAACAACGTCTAATCTTTTTGTTTTTTTATAAAAAAAAAAAAAAACTGCCACTACTGAGCAGTATGGCATTTTGTGGTCTTTAGCTATCAATTGTTAATGATCTAACGTTATTTATTGAGAACAAAAAAAATAAAATTATATTGTATGTATGTATGTATGTATGTATGTATGTATGTATGTATGTATGTATTATATATATATATATATATATATATATATATATATATACATACACACACACACACACACACACACTCACTCCCAATTAACAAATATAATTAAAAAGGTATCTGTAGAAGCAAGAATTGGGCAGGCTTAAAGTGTTACTAAACCCCCAACAGTACAATCAGTCTATAGTTGCAGTAAAGCATGCTTGTTATACTCACTGTGGAACCTAAGGGGTTAATCCTCTGCATTGTATAAAAAAGGCTGTTTGAACCTTTCTTATCTGTCCCTCCTCTTGTTGAAATGACCACCTGATACAGACTGAATCCGTAGTCACATGCACATGCTCAGTTTGGTGTGTATTGCTAGAAAGGTTTTTTTTTTTTTTTCTTGAGAAAGTGCATGTGATTAGCACAGGACCAATCAGCACTGTCCAGACATAGGGTCAGAGGTTTCACATCCTCCTAGAGCAGAATGAAGACTCCTCCTACAAACTTTAACCAGTGCTCTGTGAAGTCACAAGACTGCTCTAACTGTTGATGAGAAAAGGTATTTAGCAGTTTATATTTAATAAAATAATTGCTGTAATCGTACGATAAAACCTTTTGTGCTTATTCTATCGGACATTTTTGCATGACCTGTCACGATCAGCTGTTAAAAGCGGTCTACGAACGATCAAAATTATTGTACGATCCCTGCAAAAGTGATTTTTGACATCCGATTTTCTGACCGTGTGTACGGGGCATTAGATGATAGCACCTGACTAAGTCTGTGTTCTAATTTTCTACACTTTAAATGTAGATAGTTGACAGGACTGAAATGTGGAGTTCTATCCAGGACAAGATCTCCTCCACTTCACTTGCTGCAGGTAGGTCATCGTGGTCAACGTTTAACCCCCCTGGCGGTATTCCCGAGTGTAGCTCGGGGTAAAATTTCTATACCAAAAGTGGTAACCCCGAGCTACACTCAGGCTTACCATGCGGCGCTGCATAGGGGGTCCCTGCAGCACTTACCTTGTCCTTGGCTCCCGCGATGTGTCCCCTGCAGCGTCCCCGGCCATCTCCTCCGGCATCCGGTTTCCGTGTTCCGGTCCCTGTGACGTCGGGACGTACGGGCGCCGCCAGCGGGAAATTTGAATTTTTTAAAAAATGTCATTTTTGCTGTCATTGCTATTTCAATGCATTTCACATACATTTTGTCCCGAGTGCTTTGTCCTGCGCCCTGCCTGCATTTTTACTGTTCTTTCTGCCTGGAAACTTAGAAACGTCCATGGCGTCTAAAAAGCGTCCCTTTAGGTCAAAAGCGGTTTTAGACCGGCTAGAGAACAGCGATAGTAAATCAGAACCACTTGCAGAATTGAGTGATAATGATTCGTGGGGGAAATTCCTCATCAGACACTGAAAACAATTTTGCGACTTTGCTCAGCGATGTGCGAATATGCGTCTGTATTTCAAATTTCAGTGTTTTTGGTTTGATTATATTATTGAATTAAATTTATTATTATATTATTATTTTTTATGATTATTTATTAATATATAATTCATGATTTCGTGTTTCAAATTTTATCATATCCGGGATGTTTAATAGACTCTTGTTCGTACAGATTTCAGTGAGTTATTCCTAAAAATTACAGCCTACAATAAAAAAAAACTACCGTATTTTTCGCTCCATAAGACGCACCTGACCATAAGACGCACCTAGGTTTTAGAGGCAGAAAACAGGAAAAAAAATTCTAAAGTAATGGACTTCAGACACAGCACAGGGATGACCAGAGACTGCGGACAGCACAGGGATGACCAGAGACTGCGGACAGCACAGGAATGACCAGAGACTGCGGACAGCACAGGAATGACCAGAGACTGCGGACAGCACAGGGATGACCAGAGACTGCGGACAGCACAGGAATGACCAGAGACTGCGGACAGCACAGGAATGACCAGAGACTGCGGACAGCACAGGGATGACCAGAGACTGCGGACAGCACAGGGATGACCAGAGACTGCGGACAGCACAGGGATGACCAGAGACTGCGGACAGCACAGGGATGACCAGAGACTGCGGACAGCACAGGGATGACCAGAGACTGCGGACAGCACAGGGATGACCAGAGACTGCGGACAGCACAGGGATGACCAGAGACTGCGGACAGCACAGGGATGACCAGAGACTGCGGACAGCACAGGGATGACCAGAGACTGCGGACAGCACAGGGATGACCAGAGACTGCGGACAGCACAGGGATGACCAGAGACTGCGGACAGCACAGGGATGACCAGAGACTGCGGACAGCACAGGGATGACCAGAGACTGCGGACAGCACAGGGATGACCAGAGACTGCGGACAGCACAGGGATGACCAGAGACTGCGGACAGCACAGGGATGACCAGAGACTGCGGACAGCACAGGGATGACCAGAGACTGCGGACAGCACAGGGATGACCAGAGACTGCGGACAGCACAGGGATGACCAGAGACTGCGGACAGCACAGGGATGACCAGAGACTGCGGACAGCACAGGGATGACCAGAGACTGCGGACAGCACAGGGATGACCAGAGACTGCGGACAGCACAGGGATGACCAGAGACCGCGGACAGCACAGGGATGACCAGAGACCGCGGACAGCACAGGGATGACCAGAGACCGCGGACAGCACAGGGATGACCAGAGACCGCGGACAGCCCAGGGATGACCAGAGACCGCGGACAGCCCAGGGATGACCAGAGACCGCGGACAGCCCAGGGATGACCAGAGACCGCGGACAGCCCAGGGATGACCAGAGACCGCGGACAGCCCAGGGATGACCAGAGACCGCGGACAGCCCAGGGATGACCAGAGACCGCGGACAGCCCAGGGATGACCAGAGACCGCGGACAGCCCAGGGATGACCAGAGACCGCGGACAGCCCAGGGATGACCAGAGACTGCGGACAGCCCAGGGATGACCAGAGACTGCGGACAGCCCAGGGATGACCAGAGACTGCGGACAGCCCAGGGATGACCAGAGACTGCGGACAGCCCAGGGATGACCAGAGACTGCGGACAGCCCAGGGATGACCAGAGACTGCGGACAGCCCAGGGATGACCAGAGACTGCGGACAGCCCAGGGATGACCAGAGACTGCGGACAGCCCAGGGATGACCAGAGACTGCGGACAGCCCAGGGATGACCAGAGACTGCGGACAGCACAGGGATGACCAGAGACTGCGGACAGCACAGGGATGACCAGAGACTGCGAACAGTACAGGAGATGACTGCTGACCTTTGGGGAGGTGGGGAGCGGGTACCTGAATTTGACAGATACCCGCTCCCACTTCCGCGGAGTTGTTCTTTCATCTTACCTGTTCCTCGATCCAGCGCGCGCGGTCTTCCCGGCTTCTGTAATGGCGCTCGGCATGACAGCCGGGTGCCCAGTGCGCATGAGCGGGAAGCACTTGCGCTTTGTGATTGGTCCGGCGGCTTCTGGGATCGGTCATGTGTCCCAGGTACCGCCTTACCATTCACAAAAAGCACCGCTTCTTGCGCATGCGCACTTGGCACCCGGCTGTCATGCCCAGTGCCCACACTACAGAAGCCGGGAAGACAGCGCGCCGCTGGATAGAGGAACAGGTAAGATCAAAGAACAAAGAAGTAAGAGCGGGTACCTGTCCAATTCAGGTACCCGCTCCCCACCTCCCCAAAGGTCAGCAGTCCTCTCCTTAAGGTCCCACTGCAGAGCTGAGCGGCCGGCCCGGTATTCTGCACGGCGGCGGTGGAAATACCGGACCGGCCGCTCTATATTCGCTCCATAAGACGCACTGACATTTTCCCCCCTTTTTTTGGGGGAAAAAAGTGCGTCTTATGGAGCGAAAAATACGGTACATATTTTCATGCAAAATAACAGTACTGCTTTCAGCACAAAAAAATCGGAAAAGAATCATACCGCTAGGGAGGTTAATAATACTTTTTAGATCTGTCTGGAGGTCTCCTTTGGTGACCCGTAACAATACCGATTACGACCAGTTTTTTTTTTTAAATTTCAAGTGTTCAACTATACGCATCAATTTCATCAAATCCTCATAAAGAGACAGCATCCTACTTTTCCAGTAGACCGTGTGGTTCTTTGTTAATATCCACAAGTATGTAGTCCATACGCAGGACAACAGCTGAAGAGGAAGAACAGCACAGGGTTGAAGACTGTTAAAACTGAATCAATATTTGCATGTCCCTCTGACTCCCCACTACATGACGCTACAATGGAGGAACCTTCCAGGATGTTCATTACCAAGCTTGTAGATACAACCACTTCCTTGTGCCGTCTGACCACACCAGGAGAAGCTGCCAACACAAATACCCTTTTGTAGATAAGATATTCTGTATTACATGTGAAATCTGTAGCAACAATTTGTCACTTTTTAAAATTATAAAAAAAAAAATCCTTCAAAGGGATAAATATCCAGTAATTATAATTCTCCTCCTACATTGCCCAGCAACGCTTTTATAAACGCAGATAGCAAGTATCAAGGTACCAGTTGTTAGAATTGCTAAGGCCATGTGAGATTATTATTATTATATTACTATTATACAGTATTTGACCCTTTTACTGGCAGAATCACTAAAATTCAGTTTCTAGATTGCTAGCTCCATTTCTATTTGACTTAAGGTGGGAATACACGATTAGAAAATCGACCGATCAGTCATACGATGCCCGAGAGGCGTTTGTTCGTTGGTCGAAATTGTGGCCCACATTAACCAATCAAAAAAATCTTTCGTTGGGCAAAACGTAGTGTTGACGTCTTCTGTACAAGTGGAAGTGATGCGGTGTGCATGTGACCTTGTAGCCACGCCCTTCCGTACAGCACGATCGATATACACAACAATCACCAGCAATGAGTATAATATCGTTTATTACATGACCTATATACATAAATAGTGAGACATAAAATATAATCTGCACAATTCTGGTTTCATTATCTCATTCGGCCAATCTACTTTTAACATTTGGATTTTTCATTCGTGTTTACGAAGATTCCTCGGACATAAACATCCGGGTCATCTTCTGTTTCCGCTCATGAGACCGGATATAGTGAATGCGGGGTCCGGGGAGAGCGGAGATAGTGAATGCGGGGTCCGGGGAGAGCGACATAGTGAATGCGGGGTCCGGGAGAGAGCGGACATAGTGAATGCGGGGTCCGGGGAGAGCGGACATAGTGAATGCGGGGTCCGGGGAGAGCGGACATAGTGAATGCGGGGTCCGGGGAGAGCGGACATAGTGAATGCGGGGTCCGGGGAGAGCGGACATAGTGACTGCGGGGTCCGGGAGAGCGGAGAGCGGGGTCCATAGTGACATAGTGACTGCGGGGTCCGGAGAGAGCAGCGGACATAGTGACTGCGGGGTCCGGAGAGAGCGGACATAGTGACTGCGGGGTCCGGGGGGAGAGCGGACATAGTGACTGCGGGGTCCGGGGGAGAGCGGACATAGTGAATGCGGGGTCCGGGGAGAGCGGACATAGTGAATGCGGGGTCCGGGGAGAGCGGACATAGTGAATGCGGGGTCCGGGGAGAGCGGACATAGTGAATGCGGGGTCCGGGGAGAGCGGACATAGTGAATGCGGGGTCCGGGGGGAGAGCGCACATAGTGAATGCGGGGTCCGGGGAGAGCGGACATAGTGAATGCGGGGTCCGGGGAGAGCGGACATAGTGAATGCGGGGTCCGGGGAGAGCGGACATAGTGAATGCGGGGTCCGGGGAGAGCGGACATAGTGAATGCGGGGTCCGGGGGAGTCCGGGCGGCGGACATAGTGAATGCGGGGTCCGGGGAGAGCGGGGGACATAGTGAATGCGGGGTCCGGGGAGAGAGCGGACATAGTGAATGCGGGGTCCGGGGAGAGCGGACATAGTGAATGCGGGGTCGGGGGAGAGTGAAGCGGACGGACATAGTGAATGCGGGGTCCGGGGAGAGCGGACATAGTGAATGCGGGGTCCGGGGAGAGCGGACATAGTGAATGCGGGGTCCGGGGAGAGCGCATATAGTGAATGCGGGGTCCGGGGAGAGGGAGAGCGCGGGGAGAGCGGATATAGTGAAATGCGGGGTGCGGGGAGAGCGGATATAGTGAATGCGGGGTCCGGGGAGAGCGGATATAGTGAATGCGGGGTCCGGGGAGAGCGGATATAGTGAATGCGGGGTCCGGGGAGAGCGGATATAGTGAATGCGGGGTCCGGGGGGAGAGCGGATATAGTGAATGCGGGGTCCGGGGAGAGCGGATAAGTGAATGCGGGGTCCGGGGAGAGCGGATATAGTGAATGCGGGGTCCGGGGAGAGCGGATATAGTGAATGCGGGGTCCGGGGAGAGAGCGGATATAGTGAATGCGGGGTCCGGGGAGAGCGGATATAGTGAATGCGGGGTCGGGGAGAGCGGATATAGTGAATGCGGGGTCCGGGGGAGAGCGGATATAGTGAATGCAGGGTCCGGGGTTTAGTAACACTGTTAGTAACACTGTTAAGTACCACGTTAAGCTGGGTAAACATGGAGTTTTTTTTTCATTCAAAAAGCAGGCTGAACAAAAAAAAAAAACAAAAAATAACCCCACAGTTTCCTACAGCCACACAGGCACTTGCACAGGCACAGGCACTTGGCACTCTGATTGGAGGCAGGCACTTGTTCGCAAAGAGTTTTTCGCCTTGCGCCTTTTAAAAACCAATCAACTACAAAATCAACTTAAATTGAATCCATGCATGGCCAGCTTTACAATAATTTATGCTGTTACTGGTGACAGAAACATATACCTAGGCCAAAGCAAAATGCTTAAGAACTGAACTACACTGCAGAGGAAATTTGAAAGACAATTTAATGCTGCTCTGTACTCACTAATACATGCTTAGGGCCCCATGAACATGAGGGATTTGTCCTACCAGCATCAAAACCACAGCATTTTTGGGCACCAAGAGGTAAGGTGCAGCCTCCAGCCCCACCACCAGCAGCCAAAAATCTTTGACAGGCTCAAATACATGGGGGCGGAACACTGTACCAAGCAGTACTCATATTTAGGGACGTACGCATTCAGGAATTTGGCATTCAGCGCATACATTCCACATTATGGCGTACAGCTTGTCAAATTATGACTCGCTGCGCAGAGCAGGGCTAGATGCAGCACTT